TCAAGGAAACAAGTATTGTTTTGCATTTCGAGAGCCTTTTGGGGATCTTTACGGGGCGTCTTCGAGCGTCTTGTGGGTGTCTGCGGCCTCTTGGGGCTCTCGCGGGGCCGTTCGGCTGCCTTCCTGACCGATTTGGGCTCAGTCCCTAGGCCCAGCAGCGGCTTCCAGCAATCCCGGGAAGCCCAGATGACTTTCTGCAGGGGCGTCCGGGGGGGCCCCGGGGCCACAGATCTGGGAGGTTTCAATTTTTTTTGGGGTGGTGGTTCCACTTCCCTGGAGTGACACACGCACACACACACATACACACACACATACACACACACATAACACACAACACACACACAACACACACACACACACACACGCATATACATATCCGGAAGGGCTTCGCCCCCTGCCGCCAGCCCCCTCTCTATCATAATGAGATATATCAGAGTCGATTCGGTGCGTCTCGGCGCTGCCTTGGCGCATCTGGGAACAGCATCCGGGGGCGGATAGGGATCATCAGCGAATATTGAGACGTTGGCGTTATCCGAGTGGCCTTCGGCCCATCCCGCCACCGTGCTTGTTGGGTTGTGGGTCTGAGGCCTCTTGTATATGTGTTGGGGTGTTGTGGGGGGCCTCTCGGTGGCCTCTTGGAGGCGGTTTCGGCGCCTCTTTGGGTCCTTTTGGGGCCTCGTGGGGTATCCCTTGGGCCTTGTGGAGGCCTCTTGGGCGTGTCTTGCGCGCCTCTTGTGGCCTTTTGGGGCCTCTTGGCGGCGGCCTCTTGGCTGGGGGCACCTCGGGGCACTGCTATCGAATGTTCGGTTCGTGGTTCCCTGCTTGGGTGCCTCTTGGGGCCGTCTTGGGGCCTCATTGGGCCATCTTGGAGCTATCTTGGGCCGTCTTGTCGCCCTCTTGGAGGCGTCTTGGGCTGCCTTGGGGCGGTCTGGGGAGCTTCGTGAGACGTCTTGGGGCGTCGGGAAGTCGAAAATGCGAGAAGCCAAAATCATTTAAACAACTCCCCGTAGCATCAACGATTTTGGCCTCTTGGGGGGCTCTCTCGGGTCTCCTCTTGGAGCGCTCTCGGAGCCTCTTTGGGCTCTCTTGGCCCGTCGTGAAACTCTTGGAACAATTTTCGGACGTCTTGGAGCATTCTTCGCCTCGGCAATGCGAACACGGTGTAATCTGCGAAGGTTGATGGCTACGGGGACGCGAACATTGTGTAATTTACGAGGGTATGTTGTCTCGGGGACGCAAGCAGTGTATAATTTCCCAGGGTTTGTGGCATTGGCAGTGCGAATATGGAATAAGTTGCGAGGGTTCATGGCCTCGGGAACGCGAAGATGGTGTGTTCTACGAAGGTTTATGGCCTCGGGGGCGCGAGTCTCCTCCTCAGGCTCGAATCGAACCGATTTCCCCAGCTGCCCGATCCGATTCCTGCCGATTCGATGTGGCAGCCCGCTTCTGCCGATTTCTGGCCGCTCGTCGCAGCCATGTGTGCTCACGTAGAGGAGGATGGGTTGGGGTCTGCCGCCCGGTGCATGCGGGAGTACGACAGGCGCACGCACGACGCGTCGCTGAGGTGGCGGGGCGCCCTCCCTTCTGGAGTTCACGATGCCGTTCGCACCCACCTCGAGGAAGCCGGCTCCTCAAGGCCTGGACATCAAACGCGCAGTCGGAGCACGCTGCCCACATCCGAGGGCGATGGCAATGGTGCGCCTCGACTTGCAGCATATACCAGACCTCTGGGCCTCAAAAGCGCAAACAACAGTCTGATCGCCGCAGCCTGCCGTCATGCCCTTAGCCGCGTTGCTCCCCGGGGCCGCGACGAGATCCACGGGGGCCTCGTCGTGGGGGATATCGGGATGATACTGTCGATCTGGATGTGCGCATCGAAGTTTTCAGCATGTCTGATCCGTTGGCGACGCCGATTCTTGTGGGCTCCGGTTTTGGCCAAGTGTTCCGATATGCATGCCGGGGTTGGCTGCTCATGGCCATCGCCTCATTGCCCATCCCATGGCCGTTGAACGATTTTTCGGATTTCTGAATCAGGCGGTGGAGTGCTTGGGGAGGTTGGGTAATCATCTGCAAAAGCTGTTCGGTCTCACTCGTTGGGATCTTCAGGGAGATGTCCAGCTTCTGGGAGCGCGCTCGCGTGCGCCATGGGCCCGCTGCCGCAGTGCTCTCGCCGAGACACCGACTCCTCTGGTCGCGGTATTTCGCGCGCTTACGCGGACGACGTCGGCGTGGCCATCTGTCGACAGGCTCACTTGCGGCCTGCCGTTCGAGAGGAGACCAGGGTCGCGGCTCACCGGGTGCTCGAGCCCGCCAAGTGCTCCGCGGCCCCCGCGGGCGCCCTCCTAACCTCCAGACTCGAGCTCAAGATCAAGGCCTGGCTCGTTGAGAACACGTCCGGCTGGAACGAATGTATAATGGAAGACGGATTGGCATATCCCGGGGTGCTCTTGGGCCCTGTCGTGACAGTCGACGATCCCTGGATTGAATTTGTTGCTAAGTACATCCAAAGAGCCTACACGGTTGGTTCCTTGAAGAGTTCCTCGGAGGCCTCCTTTGGTTTTTATCGTGGCTTTGGTCATCGCATGCTTTCCTACATTGACCAGGTCGTTCTTCCTTCGACGCGTCATCTGCGCGACGAGTGCTGTATCTTCCCGCGCCCGCACTCACATGCAAGATCGTGCCGTCACGGACGCAGACTGGCACGGCCTGCGCGCTATAGGGGGCCCTGCATTGGGCAGCGTTCAGGTTATATGTCACGCATCGCTCATGCGAGCGGGCCTTGCATCGCTCATACGAGCGGGCCTTGGCACATTTTATTCATGGAAGGCTGGTTGGACCTTATGTGTGCTGTCGTGGAAACGGATGCATGCCCGTGCTCCTTCGAACTTCGTAGAGATGGTCAAGCAAGCCTAGAGCCCTTAAAGTTTCTAAGATGCGAATTCCCCCAGGGCCCTGAAAACCCTGGAGCCTCAGGGGATATACATTAGGGGGTTCGCCAAAGTGCTCTACCCAGATCGTTTGCACGATACCCTTCGGCGGAGGTTGTTGGGTGGGCGACCAGACCCCTAGGAACAAGTTCGCGAAGTGTTCATGTCCTTCCCTGCTCCTGGACAGTTACCGTCCTCAAGACATTTGGGGGGTGCTGGTGTCGGGCGGCAGGTTTCAAGGGGCCGCGGGCTGTATTTTGGCTGCCCTGGGGCCGATGGCAGTTTTTGGCGTTATTGGTGCTGCCCTGTTTTCTTCTGGCCCTTGGAGAGCCTCGCGGGCCATCTGGTTGATGGGGGACCGACTGCCGATTGCCCGTTGAGGCACTCCGAGGAGGCGCTCAGAATTCCTGTTTGTGCTTACTACTTGTATAAAAAAAACTGCATGCCTAGCCACTCTCGGAGCATGGCGCGATATCTGTGTTGCAGGCCAAGCCGGCCACCCCGACGGCCGATTGTAGGTCGAGAGGTCGACCTGTAGCCCGGCCAAAAGAGCCGCGCGATCCGGGCTTCGGCGCGCCCTATGCCACACTCCAGGCGGAGGAGGAGGAGGAGGAGGAGGAGGAGGAGGAGGAGGATGAAGTCTCTCCGCTGACGTCCGGGAGGCGGCGGGGGGCTTCAGGGGTACCCATCGGGCCCCCGCAGAACAACAGGGGTTGCTGAGCTTTCGGGGGCAAAAGCCCCTGACCAAAACCAAGAAAGGATGGATTTGTTTCGATGTGGGCGCACATTTATTGATTCTTCTATCGACGGGAGTCTGTGACCAATCCTAGGCCACCCGCTCCTTTGGCTTGGTCGGGGAGTGTTTTCTTTCTCATGGCCCGCGGGGCTTCCGAGGCGCGCGCCCGCAGGGGGGTGGCGGAGGGAACGGGGCCGCGCACATGTGACCCCAGAAGGCCTCCAGGAGTTCCCATGGCGTTCTGAAGAACCAACAACTGTCCAGCCTCGCGATGGTTGAATGTTCACAGCGATCGTGCGCAGTGCTAATGAAGGATCGGTATCTTCATTTCTAGCTTATCTCCATCGTTGTAGCCGCTCTGGTCTTCTACAAGTTAGGCGCGTGGCGCTCGGGTGAGAGCCAGCACATTTTGAACACGACCCGCAGTTCATCCTTGTGACTTTCCAGTGCTGTTGGGTCGAATGTGCGCGGCGCGCAAGCCAAGAACCACGATGTTTTGGAGACGACCCTCGCTCCATCCTTGTAACCGTTGGGCGGTTCAAGCTCCAGGGTCATACGTGATGCAGAAGTCTCAGACGAGATGCTCGGCCCGGCCCGCCCTACATCGCCGCTACGAAACTTTTGACCAATTTCGTGGCTCTACCAATACGGTACAATGCCGAATGATGTCTCGAATGTTGGGCAGGGGCCATCGCGCCATTGAGCGCAGGAGCCTGTGAGCAGCACGACGCCCCATATCGATTGCGAATCCGAACAAGCTTGAGGTGGGTTTGAGTAAAAGTCATCGGGCGGAATCGCCATTTCGACTTCGAACTGGACGGGTACCGACTTCCGCGTTGGAGGAAGTTGTGGACGCAATCGCGTGAATCGTTAATTCTAGGAAGTCTTAAACGGCATCGTTGTTTCGACTTGGGCAACCCGTTTGCTAGGTAACATTTCAAAGTCGGTAACCCGAACAGTAACAATTGAAGTTTTCGCTTGGGAATCCTTCTGGATAAAAGCGATTTCACGTTGATGCCGTCCGTATACCGTCGGCCCGAAGTCGGCATGGCGATTTGGCCCAACGTCGATGCCCCCTGGCACGAGACCCGAAGTGCATGGAAACGCCTTCGCCACAACAGGCAACGACACGCACTCTGGCAACACTGCAGTGGGGCCCCGTCGCAAAACGGGCTCCCTTCAAAACGTCCTCCGTTAACTTCTATGTTCTTGAACGGCTTGAGCTTGGGCTTTTGTAATTCGGTGATGTATAGCCACAATCAGACCTGCTAAACGATCCAGGAGTTTAAACATCGGATCCCCGCTCTCCCCCCTTGTCTGCCCCCTCTCCCCCTCTCTCGTAGAAATCAGGTTTTTGTCTAGAACTCTAACCAAGGTTAGTATGTGGATTTCTGTACTCATATTCAGTGCTCGAGCTTTCTGTGCGCGGTTTTCATATCGAACTGTTCTGTTTGACTAGGCTCGTGAACGAGCCCCTGGCACCTTGCCCCAGAGGAAAGAGACACTCTTCCCACTTTACATCGTTGAAGTTGATTGCTGATATCATCTTACTTTCTCGTTATCTCTCTTCGAGTGAACCTCGACGAGGCGACAAATCATTGGTAGTGCGGAGCTTGGTTGAAGTGTTGTCTTGACTCAGCGCTATTGAGATGGCATCATCGAGCACGGGCCAAGGCGTCGAGTTTCAGAGGATACCGACGTGGGACGGCAAAGCGGAGACCCTGGACGAGTACCAAGCTGAGGTAGAGCTGCTCACCCTGGCGACGAAGGAAGACGACAGGAAGCTGCTAGGACCAAGGCTGGTGCAGGCTCTCCCGAAGAATACTGCGCACAGGAAGCTGGCCCTGCGACTTCCGCGGACGGAGGACACGCCCGACACGATCGTAGGGGAAAAGGGCCCAGAGAACTTACTGAGGGCCTTTCAGAAGAGTTTGGGGAAGCAAGCATCGAGTGACGTGGTGGACAAAGTGTTCGCTTATTACTACGATCGGAAGACGTCAGGCCCAAGAGTGAGGAAGCTTGGACAGACGATTGGCCTCTACGCGGAGCAGGAGGAAGATGCTTACCAGGAGATGGAGAAGAGTGTCCGGGCCATCTGCCCGGGCATCGACGCGATCGATTTGATCCCCGACGAGCTGCGTGGGATCATCTTCCTTGTGAATGTTGGCCTCGACCCGAGCGAGCGCGCCACGGTGGTGGCGGGCCTCCACGACTGGTCCATCGAATCAGTGGTCGACAAGCTGAAGAACGTATGGTCGGACAAGGACCTGGCTGCGAGGGACAACATCGTGGCGAGGCGAAAGGACATGAGGATCCAGAGCACCCGCGACGGCCGTCGCGATCGCTCGAAGGTCAATTACCAGGACGACGAGGAAGAGGACGAGGCCTTCTTCGAGGGCAGCCACGAGGTCGACGAGGAGGACATCTACTACGAAGAGGAGGCCGCCACCGAAGAGCAGATGGAAGATCTGGAGGCATTCGCAGAGGATGCAGAGGTGTACGCTCAGGACGCCCATCGGACCTTCACGGAGGCCAAGAAGATGCTGGCAGAGGCGGCCAAGAACAGGAGTGGCTACTTCCCAGTGGTTGGGATAGGACAGCTCCCGGAGAAGCAGCAGCAGCGCGACGCACACAAAGCAGCTGTGACGGCGAAGTCGGCGCTGCGGCCCTCCAGGCCTCCAGGCCCACAAGGAGGGGAGCGCCGTGCTCCTCCCCCACCACAACCCGTGGGCCGCCGTCCGACAGGCAAGGGCAAGGGCCGCGGGATCAAGTGCTTGATCTGCCAGGGCCCGCATCGGGCAGTTGATTGCCCGAAGCGGCTCAGCACCGGAGCAGATGGCAACAACATGCAGATGGCCTCAGGGCAGGTTGGCTTCGTGGACGCCGAGACTGACGAGACGAACTACAGCAACGAGGGTATCCCGCCAGAGGATGGCCAGGCGGGCTGGGTACACGAGGAGATGGTCGGCTACGCGATCATCGACACCGGGGCCTCCAAGAGCATGATCGGCCTGGACCTCGCCGTTGCGATCCAGGACACGATCGTGGAGGAGACGGGCATCGACCAGGTCACCATGGACTACAGCAAGACGACGAAGTTCACATACGCGGGCGGCGAGAAGGGCCAGTCCATCGGGAAGTTCGGGTTCGAGCATCCGGTGGCGCTCGTGGAAGACGACAACAAGCTGTGGTTCGATCTCGTGGAGACCAAGTCCCCGATGCTGCTCGGCCTTGACTATCTCGAGAAGGCTGGAGCCGACCTCGTCAAGGACAGGTTGGCGCTCGTCTACCCCGACGGCCACGAGGAGCCAGTGGTGAAGCTGTCCAGCTCCCACTACGCACTGCCCGTCCTTTGAGGGTGCCCAGCCGGAGGCCGAGACAACGCCGAAGGATTGGGAAAAGAGAGAAGTTGTCAAGTTTGTTCTCCCATCAATCATCGATCGCCCCGAGTCCCCTGGAAAGACCAGAGTCAGGATAACATGAAGATCACGCTCATTAATTCAAAAACCACTGCAATTCTCCAGTACAAAGAAGCAAACAGCGTGCAGAAAACGAAAAGCCTCAGTATGGGGACCTCCAGGGAGCCCAAGGTGAGGACCCAGGCCACACAAGCACGAGACACTGCACTTCATGAAGTACGGCTACCACACTTACGAGATAGTCCATGTCATGGAGTACGGCTACCACATGTACGAGAAAGGTCATGTCCTGCAGTACGGCTACCACGGGCACGAGATAGGTCATGTCAACATGTACGGTTACAGCATGCACGAGATGGATCATGTCATAGAGTACGGCCACAGCATGCACAAGACAGGCTATGCCACGCACACATATTTGCAGCACGCCATGAGAACACGGAGCAGCACATGCCAGATATATGTCCACCGCCTCCGAAGCCATTTTCGCCAAGCAGTTGCTCCGGGAGGAGCTTTCGTGATTTCAGCAAGGAAGATATTCATGTGCAGTCCGCAGGGGCCATGGGTATCATCAGAGGTCGAGATCTCGGACGAAGAGTTCGAGTGGGACATGGTGGGACCGCCCAACGTAGAGGAGGGCTCTCCCTCCTCAGTGCCGCCCTCGCCGTCGGCTGCGCCTGCGACGGAGGCAGGCCCGATCCAGTTCTACGAGGACCTGAAGGGGGCAGGCGATGGAGCTGTTCGCCGTGACCGACCCGGACACGAAGGAGGAACTGAGGGATCAGGCAGCCAGACAGGCGGCCAAGGACGGCCTGCTCGCGGAGACGGCTCGTCGAGCAAGGGCTGGAACGCTACCTACGTCCTGGAAGTACCTCCTCGCCGAGGCGGAGACCGCCTGGGCCAAGGATCAGGGTCGCAGCCTGCAGGTGGACGCCGAGGTCAGGGAGTTGCCGACGGTACCGAGAACCAAGCCGAGAGGATCAGGACAGTCGGATCCGAAGCCCTCGGAGGTCCATCCAGTGGGACCCCCAGAGAGCAAGGGGACACCCGCCCCACGTCCAGAGCCAACGACTCCCTTCCTCAAGAAGCTTCCCTCGGGCAAGAATCGGAACACCAAGACGGCAGTCAGCAAGCCGGAGGAACCAGATCGGTCGTCGGAGACCGTGGAGCAGGCTGGACGCAATCGGTGGCAGCGGCTCGTGCTGAGGATCCAGTCCCGCAAGCGCTGGTCACAGCAGGCTCAGCTGCTGAAGTACGCAAAGAACGGGTGCCCCAAGAAGTTCACGGAGGCGAAGGGCTTTGGAGCTCACCTCGGCAGGTGGAGCTGGCGGGAGATAAGCTACGAATGGTAGGTCAGCTACCTCAGCGAGTGAGACACAAAGCGCTGCAAGCGGCCGCGAAGCTTGACCACCAGGGGATCCGGAAGCTGTCTTCCATGGCCCGAGAGGGCAGAAACGACCTGCTGGAGATCTGTGTCCCACCGGACAGCTCTCTGGGCAGCCAGGTGGAGAAGATGGGAGGAGTGGTCACGAGGATGGGCCTGTTCAACCTCTTCGACTTCTCCAAGAAGTCCTCTGTGCTCAAGGCGAAAGAACTCATTAGGACGGAGCGACCTCGCTGGGCCCACGCCCCCCCTCCGTGCTCGCCTTTCTCAGCATTACAAAACGGTGGGCCCAACACCGTCGAGTCCCAGGAGAAACTGATGAAGGTTAGGAAGTGGGGACGCAGGGTCATGAGAAACACACTGGAGGTGCTGATCTATGCGTGGCAGGAGGTCGGCACCGAGATTTCAGTGGAGCATCCGCTCACTGCGAGCTCCTGGAGAAGCATTCCGGAGCTGTACGACGTGTGGCAGCAGCTGTACGAGACCATCAGCTACGGATGCGGCTGGGGCATGAGGAGTGACGTGACTGGAGAGTTGGTTCGTAAAGGCTGGAGGATCGTCACCACCAACCAGAAGCTCGCCGACCGACTTCGGAGGAGGTGTACGCGTGACCACGAGCACACCGTGATCGAGACCGGCCTCGTCGATGTCGGGAAGACGGCCCGATATCCAACAGCTATGTGCCGTAAGTGGGCTGCGACCATCATGGAGGAGGATGCCCAAGACTACTTCGAGGTGCAGAAAGTATTCGCGACCGACGAGGAGGAGATGAACTAGACGACTGCCAACCAGGACGACCTCACGAAGATGGATCCGAAGGTGGTTGACCTGGTCAAGAAGGAGCTCATGAGCATCCACGTCAACATGAATCACATGGGCCTCAATGCCATGCGCGCCTACCTCACGAGGAAGGGAGCTCAGCCCTGGGTCATCGCGCTGGCAGGACAGCTGAAGTGCAGCATCTGTGAAGCAACGGCCCGTCGGGAGCCGATGCCCGTGGCATCGGGTCGCGAGGCGGAACCATTGGATGTGCTCCAGATGGACGGCTTCGACTGGATCCATCCCGTCACCGAGACCAGAGCTCGAGGCGCGATGATGGTCGATGAGGGCTCAGCCAAGGCCGTGCCAGTGATCCACACGACCGTGCCAAACAAAGGGAACGCGGGCGAGACCTCGTCGGCGACGGTGTGGGACACCTTCGTGAACTGCTGGGCGCGGTACTTCGGTCGTCCTCTGCAAGTCAGGACTGACCCAGCCGGAGCCTACAGAGCCAAGAAGCTTAACGAGACGGCATCAGAGCATGGGATTCACTGGGAGGTCGGACCCGCTGAGGCTCACTGGAAGCACGGGCGAGTGGAAGTGAGCATCAACCTGCTCGAGGTGGCAGCAACGAGGATGGCCATCATGGACCCGGACTGCCCGATCCAAGAGCTGTTCAGCTGGGTGGCGGCAGCCCACGCGGAGATGTTCCGTGTATCCGGGGCTTCGCCCGACCAGGTGCTTTTCGGCAGGCAGCTGCGTCCACTAGACTCCCAGCTGACGGGCACAGTCGTGCAGCTCCAAGCCGAGGCGGAGAAAGGCACCAGCGCGGAGCTGATGATGAGGAGGCGCATGCAGGCCCGCAAGGCTTTTGCCGAGGCTCTCGCAGACCGACAGGCTCGACTGGCTGCGCTGTCCAAGACGAGGAGGTTCAGGACGTGGGAGACGGGAGAGCTCGTCTTCTACTGGGTGGAGCCGGGCAGCAGGAAGGACAAGCTGAAAAAGTCCAAGGGGGAATTCCTCGGACCTGCCCTCGTGGTCAACCAGTTCTTCCGTCACGAGAAGGGCGGGGCAACCCCCCGCAATCTGGTGCTGGTCTACCATCACAACCAGCTGATACTGACCACGCCTCAGCAGCTTCGTCCCGCGTCGGAGCACGAGAAGGCACTACGCGAGATCCTTCAGAAAGCAAAGCCTATCGAGAGACAGCCCCTGACGGAGGCCATGGGCATCGGTGCGAGGTACTGGGATCTAAGCCATCAGAGACCACCCGAGGGAGTAGATCACGATAGATCCGAGCGCCAGGTCTCGGCTGACGAACCAGAAGGAGACCCAGAACCAGAGAGAGCCAACGAAAGCGAGGAGCCCGCAGCTCCTGCAGAGGACGAGGCCATGCCCGAGGTCGATGAGGCCATGCCAGAGGTCGAGGAGGCCGTGCCCGAGGTCGACGAGATCTCGAGCGAGGACTTCGAAGGGCCTGGAGGAGATCAGCGGCCCCCCGAGGATGAGGACATGAGCGCAGAAGAAGCACTTCGCCGCATCGCGGAGGCCCCCGACTCAGAGCCTGATCAGGAGGAGACTCCAGGATCTCGAGCATCATCATCGACACCACCGCCAGCAGCAGCCGCAGCACCAGACAGGCCGGCCTCCACCGAGCATCGAGTGAAGATGAACCCTCTCCTGGATGACGTACCGATGTCGATCCAGCGCAGCGTGGCCAGCAGGACAGCACCGATGACACCACCAGAGGCGCCCCCCGAGAAGAAGGCGCGAACGACCGAGGAGCTCGGAGTGGCGGAGATCTTCTCCAATATGACCGAGGATAGGGACGTCTACCTGGCCGAGATCGTCATGGAGGGCGACGAGCTGGCTGCATTCACCGAGAAGCCGAAGCAGACGCTGAAGAAAGCAGTCAAGAAGGGTCAGGTCGAGATCAACCTGCGGAAAGCGACCCCGGAGGTTAAGGCCTTGGTGGGCAACGCCAAACTCGTGGAGGTGAACAACTGGATGCACAACGAGGTGTGTCAGGCGGCTCTCCGAAAGGCGGGGGTAAGACCGATGAAGATGAGGTGGCACCTGATCCTGAAGGACGACGGCAAGGTGAAGGCGAGGCTGATCCTGCTGGGGTTCCAGGACCCGCGTCTGGCCGTGATCGACAAGTCGAGCCCCACCGTATCGTCTCGAGGCCGGAACTTGGCGCTGCAGATGATGGCCAACATGCGGCTCAAGCTCTACAAGGGCGACGTCAAGGCAGCCTTCCTGCAGGGAGATCCAACTCAAGCCAAGCATGACCTGCTTGTGGAGCCGGTTCCCGAGCTACGCGAGGCCATGCAGTTGTCAGACGATGAGTGCGTAAAGATGTTAAAGGCTGCATATGGACTCGTGAATGCCCCAAAGGAGTGGTACCACAAGGTGGACAGCGACCTGAAGAAGCTGGGATATGTGGCTATGACCTTGGAGCCATGCCTATGGATCAAGTACGACAGCGACTGTCAGGTGGAGACGGTCATCTTCGTACATGTGGACGACTTTGTGATAGGAATACCGAGCTCACCCACAGGCCAGAAGAACTTGTACCAGGTGCAAGAGCTGTACAGTTGGGGATCCTGGGAGACCGGATTCATCACGCAGTGCGGCTCGGAGTACGTGCAGCTGGCAGACTACACCATCATCCAGAGCCTGGCCAAGGCCGTGCAGAAGGTCGAGTACATCGAGCTGACTAAGGAGGAGTCGAAGCTGAGAGACGAGGTACCACTGTCCGACCGCCTTAAGTCCAAGTGTCGAGCCGCGCTGGGGAGTACCATGTTCCTCGCGTCTCAGGGAATGACATGGCTCGCAGGAGAGACGAGTATCTTGGGCGGTGCA